AATCGACATAAATGCGGCCATTGGGGGGTCGTGGCGGGCATTTCGCTTTCGATTTGTTTATAGCTGCGTTTAATAAATTGCAAATGAACTTGGAGCCTCGCTCCATCTCGCCAACCCAACCCCAAGTGGATTTTTCTATGATAAGCCATCGAAGTAGAGGCATTTGCATTGTTTCTGGGTTTTATGTTTGCTATGTGGGGGGACTGGCCGAGTCTGTGAAAGTTCAGGAGGAACAGGAAAAGCTTAGTTATGGGAAAATGCTGGTTGAGTAATGAGCTGGTGGGGTGAGTGCATATTGTTCATACGAAAAGGTGAAGTGAGTTTACAAAACAAAGGCAATTTGGTATCCTAAGCAAAATAATTACGAACTTTCTGTCATAATAATTCATTTATAGAGCCCATTTAATGGCCGAAACCACTCTATTTGGTGGCCAGTTGTTGACAGTACCATAAAGATTATCCCGAGCTATTCGCTCTTTATCCTCCCAAGTATCCTTTTTGGAAATAATTACAATAAGGAAGTTGGAGCATAAGCCCTCCATATACCATTTATTGATCGGTGCTTTTTTTTTGTTATTTGTGTTAGTTCTCGGGCTTGCCAATGTTTATATTGCTCGGCACTCGATGGCCTTCTCTATTAGTTTTTGTGAGTGTTTGTATGTTTGTATGAGTTCCAAGAAATATGAGTGCCCCGTGGCTGGTCGAGCGGCAGCTCCAAGTTGCAGCCTCCCGATTCCTTTCGTCTTAACCCTCCAGAGGCCCCTGTGCCACGTCCGCCCCCGCAGTGAGTCATAAAAATAGTGCAAAATAGCAAATGCTACAAACGCCAACGAACCAAAAATGAAATGGCTTAAGCTTTCCAAAGCGTCGCCGATGGTAACTTCACTCTGTTTTTGCCCCCCTCGAGTCCCTTGCCCTGCTTTCTCCGCTTTCCCTGATTCCCAGCTTTCTCTTTCCCCGATCCCTTCCCCCCGCACCCCCTTGAATTGTAGTTGCTTCTGCTGCTTAAATATAAATGCATTTCACCCGACCACAAAATGTGTTCAGCCGGAAATTGTACGTGGAGAGGATGCACTGCTCGAAATTGGGTAGCACAGTTTTCGGGAAATATAGTATAAATTTTTATAAAAATATAATGTGATTTATTTCTTTGTTATAAAGTTAAATTATCAAATGAATATAGGCAATATAACTTATACATGATAACTATATAACAGTTTGAAATTTTGTGTGCGACACCCACGGTACGTATGCGTAATATTTGCCTAGGTAAAGTAACAAATACATTATAAATAATGGCGCTTCATAAACTGCCTTATAAGTTGGGTTACAACTTCACCACAAGCCATGAATTTGTTTCAGTGCACCGCACATTTGGAAGGCGGAGCGGCAATCGAAACCCCTTCAGTTTTGTGGGAATATGTGGTGGCATGAGGGACTGGGCGTGGTCTGAGTGGGCTAAGATCCGCTTGGCCCTGCTCCGGCAGCCATATGTTCCATTAGCGTTTTTTAAGCGCCTATTGCCACTGTTGAAATTTTAACAGATTTTCTCCTCCAGTTCCGCTGGTGTTTTGAACATTGCGGCTTAAATTTCCACTAACCAACCACGCGAGCAAAAAATCGAAACTACGAATTCGCAAAACAGAGGCAAGTCTGGGTTTTGGAACAAATAATTCTCAAACAGCAATAGGTAGATATAAAAGTATTATATCCAAAGCCAAATAATCCAAATCCTTCCCCCAAGAATCGCATTACGCAGTTGGAATTCTGTAAAAAGTATGTTATTATTGATTTAAATCCCATTCTTATGAATTTTAGGGGACAATGCTTCCGCCAACCTTGTGCTCCCAATCAAAGTACCTTTTGAAAGGGTATCGAAGCGCGTTCGGCTTTTGGGGACTCAACTTCTAAACTGGGCAATAGCGGCGCCTTTTGCTTATTTGCATCGATTTGCGGGGGCAAACGAGGGGGTGATGGGGGCGATGGGGCAATGCGATGGTTTTTGGCTCTGCGGTCCACAAAAAGGGGTGGGGAGGTGGGCTCAAGTTCTTTGGAGCTGTTTTGTGGACTCGTTAACATCGTCATTGCCGTCAGTTGCACCTGCACCTGCACCTGTCTGACGTTGCAGTTTCGTCCTGTTTCGTCCTGATTCGTCCTGTGCCATACGATGCCGTGCCATGGAATTGTGAGCTGAGGACGCGTCAAAGTGCAAATGAGCTCAACGATGTCTGCTCCGGCTCCCCTTTCCGCCAATCCTCTGCTGAATGGATATGCCAACAGGACGAAGGAGCTGAGACTCTGGGCAAACACAATAAATGCATTCATGCAATATGCATCAGGTAATCTCGTTGCTTTTAATCGTTGTTTGACATCAAAATTACAATTTTCTTAAGACGCTCCATCCATCTATCTATATGGCATTTGTATTGAAAGGATATTCACTCAATGGTAGATGTTTGCCCAAGCTGCGTCTTTGAGAGGGGTGCTAAAAAACTGGCAGCATCTTAAGAAAGTTTCTGGCCATTTTCAAACAAGCATTTCTATGGCACAAAAGGTTTCCCAAGCCAACGCATCTTTGCAATCTTTTATTCAAAAGAAAAATTGATGCCGCAATGGTTTTGGCTAGGGGGAAATCCCTAAGTTTGTCCATCTAGACAAGTAAACTTCCTGAAAAAAACATGAGTATGCTGCTAGGTTGCAACTGCATCTAGAATCGCCTAAAAAATGCCTAGATAAAAATATCTTTTCTTTTAATTTTAATAGTTACTTTGAATTCGCCGGTAATGTAAGAGTCGATGCTAAACGATTGTATTGTTTTCCAGAAACTATTAACTTAGAAGGCTAACAAGCTGGGTGAGTTGTTATACTTTTGGGGAATTAGCCTCTGGTTCGCTGTCCACTTGGACCCTCTATTGATGCCCCGACACGTTGCAACAATCGCTCACTTTGAGGGCTGCCTATTGTTTGAAGTTCTTTCTCCGCTGTTGCTCACTTTTTTAGTTTTCCTCCTCGGGTACTTTTGTATTTTCCTCGTTTTGTTTGTTTCGCCCCGACGTCGCTTTCCCTAGTTTTTCATACTCTATAACAATAGAGGTAGCTGGGAAATTGGGTGTTTCTGTTGGGGCCGAAGGACTTATTGAATGCTGCTCTGGTTTTGTCCTCCATTGTGGTCAATGCTAAAGGCATCTTGGGTCGGGGGTCGGCTCGACTTCCATAGGTTTCCTTAAACTATCAAGTGTTTGGGCCTAAACGATGGGGTCATTTGGGACATTTAAAATGGTTTGCATATCCTTTTATTGCATTTTTTCGTGAAAAATTCAATGAAAAGCGCGTGCTTTCAGGTTAGTTCAATTACGGAATCGCATTCAAACCTCTAGTAGAAACTTTATAAATAACTAAATCATAATCATAATTTTACTACATTTTGTGATAATGGCTCTGCTGGAAAATAGTTTTATAAGTACGCTCCTCGCCGAATAGTTTTGACTAACCAGCTATGTTGTTCTTTGCATATTTGTCCCTGTCCTATTGAGCAAAGTCTCAGATGTTTGCTGAGCATGGGCACCTGGACCATTCAGCCCCATTCAGGGGAAACAGTTTTGCAATTTCACGCCGCTCCAGGCCAAGTGCAGCCATCTCCTTCTTGCCCAGTGGACGTAATCGAACAGGCTGTCTCCTTCTCAGTTTGGGGCAAATCCTACAACGTCAGCAGTTGGCTGGAAGACAAATGGAAGGCTTCTGCTTGCTTGGCTACTGGTGGCAGCAATTAAAAGATTTGCAAGCAGCTCCAGCTGCTTTCGTTTCCGTACTCCTTCATTCATCCAATCCTGGCAATCCCCGACCCATTGACTACCCAGTAACCCACTCGTATGGTCGTATATGTGGATGCACCCTGGGCAGAGCCACATTTTTTGCTCTTGCCTCCATTTAGTCACTGTTAGTTTCAACTTTGGGGGTCATTTGTCTTTTCGGAAAACTTTTCGTCTCACTTTGTTTCGCCAAGTTGCCATGTCATGGTGACGGGCATAGGAAGCTCGCACTGGTCACTTTTTTATGGTTGGTGCATATTTATGACAGTAGGACATTTTCGGCGCTATAAGGTTCCCAACATGGGGAAGTAGGAACCCATCGATGTATAAACGCCATATGGAGTATTTGTAAGATTATCTTTAGAAATAGGTGATGGTGGAGGTTATGAAGACCCTTTCACTTCCGCAATACTCGAGTTGAATATTTTTCTGATGAGCTTGTTGTATTATAGAAACTCAAGTAGTTGCCAGTTGAAGCTCAGGCCCTTGAGTCGATGTTATTAAACCACATCTGGCCCTTAAAGCCTGTGGATTGCTGCCAGGTGACCAGGATGGGTGCGAGGCACGAGGCACTTGGGTCATCCGCAAAGTGCTGTGAACCACAAAAATGGCGCATGACCTCGCAATTGGCACTTACACGAGTGCATTGTGTCTGTGCACGAACCGCAATAAACAATATGAATTTATATGCGCTCGGAAACATTTTAATTAATCACTGGAGGGCATCAATTGCATTTTGTATGCTAATAATTTGCGCTATAAATATTCCATATCCCTTCGGTCTCCCCTCCAATCAGCCTCTAAAAATCCTGACCCACGATTCGATTTCTTTTTACTGCCGCACTCCCCTTTTTATAGTGCGCATTTTAAAACGAATTGATATTCAATTAAGCTAAAAATTTCGCTGGCATATAAAACACACACACACCACACAGCCAGTAGAATGCAGCAAATAATAAATATTTATTTAGGTTTGCAGTTCATATTTTATACTATTGATGCTGTTGCGTTTGCAGTTGATTGTTGATTTTTTTTGTTAACTGCACAACAGAAAAAGTTAAGCAAACATTGACGGAAGCGGAAAAGCAATGTCGAATTTTAAGTGCCCTTTTTAAAAAGTAATGAAAGTTTCGAGCTTAGATATGACTTTAAATACATAACATTTACTCTTATTCCAAACATTTCAATTAGCTTAAGCCCAACTTATCACAATTTGTATTTTCCAAAATCGTAGACAAACATTTCAGCTAACATTGAATTTGAAATATCCCTTTCATATGAAGAACCACACCTAAATAACACATCCATCTCGAAAGCCGTACATCATCCGCAACTCCTTGGAGATCTTTCTACTGATCAGGCCGTCGGTCCGGCGGGTTTGAGAGAAGATTGTCTTGCGATAGCCGGGCTGCTTGATGCCGGGCTTATGGACCAGGAAAGCGTTATCCAGGATATGGAACTCGTAGTCCAGCACGCACATGGCATAGGCCTGGGTCATTTTGTCCCGCTGACCCTCCCAAGTCAATCGCTCGTCGTAGGGCGGATCGTCAACGGTGCCCAGGAATATAGGTTCCCAGTTGCTGTTATTTTCCGAGCGGCGACCCACATTGAAGACATTGAGTTCCTTGGAGACCACGCTCGCATTTATCCACTCCTCCAGGCCTGGGCCCCTATGGCACACCTCGCAGATCTCCATGTGGAAGGGAACTGCCTCGCCCGACTTCAACAACTCCTGCAACTCCGACTTGCTGCTCGGCACAGAAACATTGGCCTTCACCTCGAAAATACGCAGCGCATGGACCATCGGCGAAGTGCGCTGCTGTCCTGGAACTCCAAGCACCTGGGATTTAGATTACAGCATTAATTTCATTTTTAGCTACATATCTATGTGGTTAATTTGGTTCAGGATCGATCTTGGACACACTGACGAACACACTACTGACGAGTGGTAAAAGTGGAGGCTCATAAGCAGAAGTTCAATAATGAACCCTACCTGGCGGCCAAGAAAATTCAAAAAGTCGCGCACCAATCCTGGCGTGGGATAGAGCTCGATGTCCGAGGCCAGGACGTAGTGCGTCAACGAAGCCCTGCGTGCGATGTTGCGTCCAATATTGACGGGATAGTTCAGTGTGTTTCGAGTCCTGTACATGTCCGACTTAACGACGTTCTCATATGGCGCTGGTCCGCTGCAGTTGGCCTGCTCCCTCAGCGATGTGTCGGGTGGAAGCACCACCTGGGGCAAGTGCTCCACGTCGAAGTACAGATGAAAGCTGCACAGCTCGCGAACCAGGTGCTTGCCAGGATGGCACTGCAGCAGGTACAGAATGCTCCGTATAGTGGGCTCGAAGTCCGTGCCAGGAGCGTATATGGCCAGGCTGAGGGGCGATCGCCAGCGTTCCAGGAGGGGCACCACATTATCCAGATACCTGTAGTCCGCATGGCTGGTGTAGGTCACATTTGCATAGCACGGAATACTGCCGTGACCCGCCAACACATAGTTCTGCAGCACCCAGTAGTCCCTATAGATCACCTCGCTCGGCTTGTAGTTCTTAGCCTCGCAGTTCACAAACCTTTTCAGCTTGGCCAGGGTTCCATTCTGCAGGCAATTGATCCTCGGGACAAGGGTAAGGAGTACGAGAGAGATCAGAAGGTCAAGGAGTCGAAACATATTGTTACGATTTTCTTTTTCCGTTTCCCACAAACTGAACTGTGCTTCCTCGATAAATAGATGGGTAGTATTGAAATTGAACTGGATTTTGGCAGAAATTTTGAATTTATAAATTCAAATTGAGGGCTAAAAACGCTTAAAGCTCTCCTTAATTGAAAGCTTAAAGGAGCATTTAAAACTCAATTAAGCCAACCACTCCCAAAAGGCTTCTCGCCCCCAACAATTGAAAACGAAATCCCAACGAAAAATAATCAGTTACGAATGGGGTTTATTATTGATTAGCAGACATTTTAATATGCAGGCTGCGCAAATAAACAATTAATACGGAAAATTAATGTACATTGTTCATTGTTAAAGGTAAATCCCCAAACTCGCCCCAAATCCAACCATTCCAACGGCCCTTTTCACAGCAGCCGTGGACAACAAATTTTAATTATGCGCCAGTTTTGGCTTCTATTTGGGCGCGCGATGGGGCTGCTGTGTATATAGATTATGTATTTGTATGTATATTGAAATATTAGTAATTACGAGTTGAAAATTCATGAAAATACAATTTGCGATTATTGTTATTAGTGTCAGGCAACAGGCAGGGCCTCTCCGATGGGATTTCCCTGCAAACTTTTGCCAATGCCTGGCAAAGTTCGCCGTGTGCGGTGGAGGAGCAGCCAAAAGGAGGCGCAGAGCGAAGGACCAAGGACGAAGGACGAGGACGCGGACGAGGGCGAAGGACAAAGGGCGCAGGAAGGCGACAGCAGCTGAAAAATTTATAAATTCAATAGCACCTAATTAAAATTAAATCTGAAAGCTTTCCGTATCGACGATGGAGCACGGCTTAGGCAGCCACAGTTGGTAGGAGCAACAGGAACAGAAACAGGACACAACGCAACAGCAACAGTCGAAGGAGAGTTGGCCAAGGATACACGGCAGGATATGCACGGTAAATGCTGTAGCCGGAAATGAACACGTTCTGATGTGTGCTAGCACAGCACTTGGAGAAATAACTAAGCCGGCGAGACTGTGAAACAAACCCCATTCCCACGAAAATTAGATTGCTGAAGCACTTATAATAAGGTAAAGTAATATAGATTTTTTTTTAATTTTTACTTATTATTATAACAACGCTTTTAGGAGTATGTTCCACATTTTTAGAGGAGTGTCTTGCTGGTCATTACTTGGTATTGCAGCAGAGCAGTGCGGCCCATTTCAATTTGTGCCATGAACATAAAGCAGTAGTAAGTAAATGCAGTGTTTTTGAGTGGGCTCAAAATATTGCCTGTGGTATTTGCGAGGTGTAAGCTTATGAATTTGCATGTGATGTTGATTTTTGGGCAGTGTGTGTGTGCGGCATGGAAAACTTTGCCAACTGAAACGTTCGGTGTGTTTATTTATGAGCCGGCGTTTGTTTGCCCAGCCAGCTCGACGCCAATGTGCACCCTACCTTGGTAGGGTTGGCTGTGGGCCATATTAATTATTGAAAGATTTGATATCGGCTTAAAGTTGCGTTCGCCGTCTGTTGCTCTTATTGTTTCAACTTGCTGGGCACCAGCCTGAGTCTCCACTCTGCCTGCAACCCTAACTCACTTGTCGCATGCATCATCATCAGGGCAGTGCCAAATCTAATTTACCTTGTCTACCTTTGCTCCTCACCAATACTCGGCTCCCTGCGCCAGATCAACTTTTACCGAGCTGGCATTAGTCCTTGATCCAGGTGCCTGGAAATGAACCAATAAATCAGTTTATAATAGAGCGAAGGAAAAAATGTGGGAAGCTGCACCGAAGTCAGGTGCAACTTTTGATGCAGGGCGGATCAATGGCCCCGGGAGAAAGGTTAAAGTGCTTTTTCCCAAAGAAATCATATTTGCCTGTGCATTCGACATAAAAATGTCAGGAAAATGCAGGGCGAGTAAGCGGCAATCAGGTGGATAGGGTTTCATAAAGGAAGAGTCAGCTGACAAGACAAAATACATAGTTGTTACCTAGAAGTCCAGGCCCTTCTTATTAAACTATAAAACTAAGAAAATCCTGAATAAAACATGGACAAAGTGTGAAGAATGTTCATTTAATGAATATATTAAATTGCTCAATTGGTCTGAAATGATATTAAAAATCAAAATGTGGTTGTGGCCCAATAAAAAGTGGCTAACAATATAAAACCAAGCCAAATCGTAATTCTATTTACTCCTCCTCCAATAACGAAATGCAACTGTCACACTTGAAATGTATTTTCTGCTAGTTTATATAACAATGGGTATTTCATTTTAGATTGATGTTTATTCACTTGTTCACATTTGCCCAATTGATTTTCTAACCGAAAACGATTTTCAATTCAAATGTCTTTGCTCCGCACCGAGCTTTAATTTGCCAGATAAAATGTTTTCCATTGGCGAGCATGGTTCATAATTCAATTTCGGTGTTAGCATTTGCCATTCGATCGAGCCGATTGTTTCTGTCCTGAGCCGATTCACTGCTAATCCTTAACGCCGGATAACCAAGACCAAGACACAAACTGGCCGGAAGCACAGTTGCAACAGCTTCCCGTCGGAGCACTCGAATTTTGTATTTTATTTAAGGTCCGAGTATAGCATAAGCCGACTCCAACATATGCCAGATGACGTTTAATGCGACCCTCTGTCCTCCTGTCGACACCAGCCAACGTCAACATTCGTCCAGGACAATGCAAATGAGCCGGAAGGCGGGACTGGGCGGAACGGGGCGGAAGGGGGCGGAAGGGGGTGTGGTCGGGTCGAGAGTCAGAGGCACGCTGCATATTTCAACATTTCCGGTTTGATTTCACATTCCAAACAAAATGGCCGGCAGACGTGCTTCCGCCATCAGCTGCACGCACCGCACCTGAACCAGAATCGAATCAGAATCAGTCCCAGAATCTGGACCGAAATCAAGGACTGGTCCTGGATCCATATCCACATTTACAGGATGAGCACGGTCAAGGAAAGTAAAATACAATTAAACGTAAGTTGTTCAAGAAATTACTATTATTTAAAAGCTTGCTAAAATAAATTGCCGAAATAAATGTAGGCAATTTTCTTGTAATAAAAATCAAATTCTTCACATAAACGTAAATTGTAAGTAGCCCAAAAGAACTGTAGTTGTACTGAATTTATCCACATCACATATTTCGATGCTGTTTTTTCAGTATCCACAGCATTGATCTGTAAACTGCGCGTGGTACATTCGACAAATTTATTGTAAGCCAATTGATTAGATCACATGTCCTTTCTATCATAACTGGCTTACGTTGCATAGGCAGATAAAAAGGCAAACATGGAGTAGGGATTGCATGAATGAACCCCTATAATCATATTCGATGCCATGATATAGTTCTGGGCTCGATTCCCAGGCGCTCTCAACGGGTTTAACATTTAACTCTTTAATCTTTTTGATGGGGGAATCGCCGGGCAGGGGCACATAAAAAATTTACCAGTTGATTTTATGCTGGATTAAGCTTAAACTTTATACTAAAAGGAACTAAGCAAGCGTAAATGGAGTTTTTCCCCTTTTCTTTGGCTCTCGCAGCTCGCCGCTGTTGTTTCCAGTCCCTTTCCTTGTTAAAATAGCTTTAGTGCGGTCTTTTGCCTTCATCTGGCTTGGGTCCTGCCCCGAGTCCTTTTTGCCTCCTTCATGTGTGTGTGTGTGTGTGTGTGTGGTGTGTGTGTGGGGGTGGGGGTGGGGCTCTTAAGCTACGTCTGACTGATTCCGGCACATTTCGGATGGGATGTCGAAAAATATTTGCTGTGACAGTTTTTGGCCCAAACACTCCTGCTCTGCGCTTTTTTCCGCCCGTTTTTCCAGCTTAGGAGAGGGTTGCATTTCGGCCTACCGCATCTCCAGACCATAATTCGCATCGAAAACCCATCAAGTAAATTTTTGAGAAAGGCAGGGAGCAAGGGGTCAAAATTGTGGTCGAAGGTTTGGCTTTGCTGCTTTGACGAAGGCAATTTTGTGTTCAGGTAATAGCTCTATTATATAGTTATTGTACATTATTGTCTGCGGTTTGGTCTGCTGCACACGCACTCAATATATAGCTATACCTATATACGAGTATGTATAAATCGGACTAGTAGAGATGCTTACAAATCAGAGATATGGGACATGAAATATCGATGGAAACTGCATAGCTATAATAGTGTTTGGTTAGGAAACGTAATAGAAAATATTGCATTTAAGACCTAAACAAAAATGCATATTTTAGATATTGCCTGAGCACACACTATTTCTGCCATCCCTGAAAGTGAGTCCTTTGACCTGACGTGCTGGTCAACTTCAGATTGGTTGAGGTATCCGTATTAATATTCTCTCGTCCCATCCGTCGAACGTTGAAAAGGCAATAAAAATTTGTGTCATTCAACTGCGATGACAACGATGAATCGGACCCATGCAACCATAAGCCCCCCACTTCACCCTTATCCCACGGCGATTCATTCCGGCCACTATCGATATGCCTTGACAGAATCCAATTCCATTTCAATTGACCGGCCAATGCATATATAATACTGTGTATATATGATTTGCCACTCCCCCAACATCCAGGGACTGCGGGCCGTAAGTGTTGACATTATTTATTATGTAGCTGTTGCATATGATTGGCTTTTTGTATTCGCTGCCTTTGCGAGTATGTAAAAGTTCGCTTACATTGTACATGAAGCTGTGTATAAGTATATAATTTACTTTTTACCTCTTTTGCGCAGAAAAATAATCATTGCGAAATTGTATTTTTTTTTCGTAGGGGAAGGATTTGCATAGACTCATTCAGTGACTGAAGAAATTTGTATTTGTTATAATATAAATATCTATCAGTTAATTTATCTTTCCCTAGTAAAAAGAAAACATTTCATCTTTCTTCCTTGCAAAAAAAATGTATATATAATTGATTGCCGTAAAGTTTCTTGCTACCATTGCGACCATCTCCTTTGAGAGATCCAAATCAGAGGAATTTTTCTGAATTTTCCGACAAATTACACTTAAATTTTCTCTCCCATTAATCGTGATAATCAACGGTTCGTATCTGTCTGTAAATATTGAAT